CGAGCGGGGCGCCGGTCCCGCCGGATGCCGGGGCGGAGCCGCCCGCCAGGCCCGCCCCGCGGGTCTACACCCGCACCGGGGACAAAGGTAGCGGCCCCGCGCGGGGCAGAGGGGCCGGAGAGGCCTGTGCATCCATAGGGTCTGCAGCACAGGGAACCGTGTGCAGGGCCGCGAGCGTGCGCGAGGCGTCCCGCAGTGGGGATGGTGGGTGGAGGTCATCTCTGGTGATTGAACTGTGAGGGAGACAGCACGAGGGCTGTTGCGCTGGAGACGAGCGAGAGCTCCTTGCGTACAGACGGACTGACTGAATCTCCAGCACACGAGCCTCGTGTTCAGTGTCTGTGGGGATGGACATCTCTACCCCTGGTCTGTAGAGATGAGATGCAGCACGAGGGTTCCTGCGCTGGAGGTGATCGATAAATGGACAGACAGACAGATAAATCAGTGCAGGAAATCTGGTGCAGGGGAGCGAGAGGGAGCATGCACACGGTCTCCTGCCCTGTAGATGAGAGGAAGAGATGGAGAGGTCTCATTTCCAGCGCACAGACCTTGTGTTCTGCCCTATGGAGAGCTACACCTCTGTCTGTAATCAGCGTAGAGATACGGAGCACAAGGCTTCCTGCGCTGCAGAAGACGGATAGCTATCGTCTTCAATGCAGCAACCCTTGTACAAGAGAGCGAGCGTGCAACAAGGTTTCTTGCACTGGAGATGATATAGATGCATCTACCTATAGACACTGATTTAATCTGTAGGGCCAAGGAGGTGATCCTCCCCCTCTACGCGGCCCTGGTCAGGCCACAGCTGGAGTACTGCGTCCAGTTCTGGGCACCCCACTTCAGGAGGGATGTGGCCAGCATGGAGAGGGTCCAGAGGAGGCCAGCCGTGTGATCTAGGGACAACAGGGCAGGCCCTACAGTGAGAGGCTACGGGACCTGAACCTGTTCAGCCTTCACAAGAGAAGGCTGAGGGGGGACCTGGTGACCATCTATAAGCTCACTAGGGGGGACCAGAAGGGTTTGGGGGAGACCTTGTTTCCCCTAGCGCCCCCCGGGATAACAAGGAATAACGGCCACAAGTTGTTGGAGAGTAGGATTAGATTAGATGTCCATAAGAACTACTTCACAGTCAGGGCGGCTAGGATCTGGAACCAACTTCCAAGGGAAGTGGTGCTGGCTCCTACCCTGGGGGTCTTTAAGAAGCGGCTCAATGCCTACCTGGCTGGGGTCACTTGAGCCCAGTTTCCCTCCTGCCCAGGCAGGGGGTCGGACTTGAAGATCTACAAGGCCCCTTCCGACCCGACTTCTAGGATTCTATGATCTCCAGCACAGGAACCCTTGTACTCTGTATCTACAGGGATCTACATATCTATCCCTAATCTGTATATAGATACCTCCAGTACAGGAAACCTTGTGCAGAGAAAGAGAATCGTCTTCAGCACAGAAAATCTTGTGCAAGAGAGAGCATGCATGTGGTTTCTTGCCCTAGAGACAATAGATAGAGACTGATTTAACCTCTAGTGCAGGAAACCTTGTGTTCTTTACCTATAGAGAATAAAGGTAGAGATTTATATGAATCTGTAGGCAGAGAGAGAACACAAGGTTTCCTGAGCTGGAGATGATAGGTATTATATTTATTTATGCATGAGCTTTTGTGAACTAGAGCTCACTTGTATGGGACATGGTGAGAAGATGCACAGGAAGCAGAGTAAAAGAAGGGGAGAGAAGTTGGAACAGCAAAGACCGGGGGGTGGAGGGGGCGTGAGTAGGTCTGGAAGAGACTAGCAAACCTGTAGGAAAAAAGGACTCGCTGAAACAAATCCAGGTAGTGGGTGGGGGAGAATCCATCGTCCCTGTTTAAACCCTGCTTGATGCAGTGCAGTCCCTGGCCAATTGCTTGTTCTGCAGTGTCCCGTTCAAATCTGTTTTTAAAAGGCTGCCATCTGAGAACAGCCACCCTTGGGTCAGTGATGGAGGGTCTAGGGAGGTTCAAGTGGAAGAAGCATACCAGAGAAATACCAGTGCACTGGGTGCAGCACGTCTCTAAAGGACACAGAGGCAGAGACCTCCCCCTCCTGCATCTGTAACACAGACCTAAGATTGTCACATCTGCAGGCCCCAGCTTAGTGCCACTGCAGCGAGTTGTTCCAGTCGTGGGCCTGTCTGTTCCAAACCCTTTTCATGTTTGTGGCTTGTTTTTAAAGGATTTTCCAGCACATTCACAGGTGAGAGGAGGTCAAAAGACGATCAAGTATTTGAAGCTTTGGGAACAACAGATGAATTGAGTTCAGCTATTGGGTAACAAAACTATAAATTTTCTGTTATTTGACCTTTGCTTGCCTCTGCATATTTTTTTAAAACTGGGAAGCATCTCTCAAAAGCAAAGTTCTGATGCTCATGCCATGCTGTTGCTACCGATCTTTTGTAAAGGGGACACTGTGCTTAGGAGTTCATCTTTTTTACTTTGCTATTAGTTGACACCACCACAGTCAGTCGTGGTTGCTATGAAACCTCTTACGATGAAAGGATGCAGCAAAGCTGAAACAGCTTGTACCTAGCTGCATTTATTCTGTTCTTTGTGCACATGATGTTTTCCTTTAAAGAAGGATTGAGCGACAAAAATGATCAGCCTGTGGACAAGTGACCCCTTAGTTGTTGCAGTGCAACAGTCCCTGCGAGCCAGTGCACATACAGTCGTTATGAGCAGTAAATATAGAAGAGATGCCAAATTGGACTCTTGTGCCCCATGACTAACTACTCTGCTTTCTCTCACTCTAGACTTGCTAGTGAATTAAGCAGTGAAAGTGGCCATATATTTGCCGAACAACTGCACAAAGTGAGTAGTAACTATGTTTTTGGGGATGGGGGATCTAACAGTCATTATAGTTGCATTATTGACCAGTGGAGTTCTGAAGCTCTTGGACTGAATCCCCTCAGCAGCTCTGAAAGCAGTTGACATGCTGCATCCCAGCCCTTTCGGCTGACTTGAAAAATCTCAGCTCTGATTACTTGAAGAAACAAATCTCTTCTCTTTAACAATACCCTGAAGGAAACCAGTAGAGTGAGGAGCGAGTCAGCTGTGCAGCAAATCCATCACAGAGCTGTTTCCGATCCATTTTCATGCACGCTTGGGAACACGCAAAACCAGCCTTGCTGTCTTGCATCCTTAGATTGAAATCGAGAGAGAAGAAATACTGAAGTGAGGATGGAGAGGAGGGAGAAACCGGCTCCCGCCTAGGTACATTCGGGGTTTACTAATTAGCCACACAGTGCAGAAGAGTTCAATATCAGCTTATTTACAGCTCTGGAACATAAAGCTACCTCTTCACTGGCTCACTAGAGCATCAAGTATCATCTCTGCAATTGCAATTTTGTTGCCTGTGCTTTGGCTGTAGCAAATATCCTTCATTTTTTCCCCCCCTCTTCCTTTTGCTCTCTCCAGGTCCAGTGCATGCTGCAGGATGTCGGGGCCAACATTGCCACCCCCATCTCTTCAGCCAGGGAGGCTCACTTAAGTAATCCTCCAGTTCTTTTTTCTAACATAATGGCTGTAGACTTAAACTTCCCCCACATGGGTTGGAAGTATTTAGGAAAGCTGGTAGTGAACTTCTGTTAGTGTTTGCCTCAGCAGTTGGCGTCTACGGCAGTCAAGTCTCAATTACGCCACTTTCCTTGACTATTTAATACAACAAATGTAACATGCTCAACAAGACGGATCTTGCAAGTAATTCATGCCAGCATTTAAGTCACTTCCTCTTTGCTTCTCTAGAACGGACCTCATTTACTGAAAAACCAGTGCTGGAGCTGGAGCAGTGGATTGATAAATACACAGAACAACTTCCACCTCTCACTGCTTTCATTTTGCCTGTAGGTATTGCTTATGCTTATTACTGAAGTCAAAAGGTTTGCTAGGTGATTTGATTGATGACTGAATCTAAAACCAGTTATCAGTTCATAATAAACCCAAACATGAGGTTGGTCTTGAGGTCCTGCCAACACATGCTTCCATCCCGCTTTGGGGGGTTTGAACCTACAACTAACAGCCCTGAAAGGATGGAAGAGATTAACACTTGCTGTTCTATTGTATTTAAAATAAGTTCCAAAATGCCTAACACCTGTAGCACCAAAGAGAAATATAGCTTCTGCGAGTCAAATATGGCTTGCTTTTGTGCAGGATGTCATGAGCTTACTAAACTTTATGCAGCTAGGAGATGAGATCTAGTTTCAGTTACAAGGCATTCATGTATTTTCTTTCAGTCAGGAGGTAAGAGTAGCGCTGCCCTTCACTTCTCCAGAGCTGTCTGCCGCAGAGCAGAGAGATGGTAAGTGTTTGCTAGCATAACCTGAATAAAACTGAGGAAAAGATCCGCTGAGACCAGATAGCTGCAGCAGCCATTGAGCCGTGCAAAACAGCATCCAATGCAACTGGTCTTAAGTCAGATTTTAGCAAAACTGCAGTTGAACGAGGGGGAAATATTGGCTTGAGAGCTCCTGCAGCATCTGAGGCAGCTGCTTCAAGAGGCCAGCTTTAACCACTGCACTCTGGAAGCAGTAAGCAAAGTGCAGAGGCATCTCTCCAGGACTGTGGCTGTAGAACTCCTTTTGCAAGCTAACATATATAGGAGTAACAACAGAACAATGATATCTGGGCAGCAAGTAACCCAATATCTTATGGTTTCTTGTTAAATGTCAGTTAGTATAATTGTATTGATGCACATATCAATAAACTCTGCAGAATAACTTCATGCTCAGAGCAAGAGGAAAGAGAATAGATTAGGACCTGCCCATACTGAGGGGGTGGATTCACTACCAATAGTTATCCTTATGAGTTACCATTGATACTGATACTTTATCATACAAGTTCCAACTCTCCTACATGCCATAAAACTACAGGTTTTCAGTGCTTACGATCTACATCATGAAGAATACAGAGACTCCTTATTAACTAATCGAGGTTTTGAGCATCTTCTAACCTCGGAGACAAGTCTGTTCATCTGTGTGCTCAGAGCCAATAGATTTGCCAAAGCCATTCACTCTGTGTTTCTCCCTTCTTAGTGTGGTTCCCATAGTGCAAGCAGGAGAAGCGGATCCAAACGTGGCCAAATATTTGAACAGGTAAAGCAAATGCAGGGATTGCTGCTCTCAGCAAGGGTGCGTTAGTGCTAGTTTCCTCTAGTCGTCAGCAGCCACAGCATCCCCAGAGAGAATGCTGCTCCATGTAATGATTTCAGCTTGTCTAAGGCTTGACATAGACTGAGCTGGAAAGCAAGGTTGCTTGTTTAATACCTGGATGCAGCAGCCTAAAAAAAACCAGATGCTTCCCAGGTCCTGTGGGAGCACTCATTTGATCCTCATTGTGTATGCCATTTTGGGCATCGCTGCTGTTTACTTTGTTTCAGTTGCTCCATTTCCCTCGCAGCTCCCCGTGCTGTAATTCAGCACGCTGTCTTACTCATACCGGCGGCTAGCTGCAAATGCATCAGATGACAGATGCGCATTTCTTTACTGCTTTCCTTTCCCTGCCTTCCAGACTCAGTGATTATCTCTTCGTTTTGGCACGTTACGCTGCAATGAAGGAAGGGAAGGAAGAAAAAATATACACCAGGAGTGAGCCGTAAGTTGCAGGTGACACTTCTTCCTATACCAGGAGAAGCTAAATCTGGTAGAGATTCTCTGTGCAGGGAAGAGAGAATGCACCTGGATCCAGGGTACCCATTGCCCACCCATCCTGTGACTGAAGTAGCTTAGGGTCTTTGTTTTATAAACCTGTAAGGAGTGCTCAGCTGGTCTGCAGAACTCACCTGCTTCCATTAGCTAGTTTCCAGATCCGAGCATCCAGTTCTAATAACTGCCTTGGAAATGGCTTCAGAATGACTCTCTCTGACAGCTGACTGAAAGTTAAATCCCATTTCACTTCTCAGAGCAGTGGCAGGTGTTGCTGAAGGAATCTGACAGCGCTCCGATGAAAGGAACAGAAAAATGTGCGTGACATCTCTTAAAAGCTGAAAGTATCAATAGTAAAGAGAACTGGGGCATGGATTCGGGGACCCAGTCCATAAGCTCTAAAATACAGCGTGAGTAACTTGCATCAGAAGGCCCTTTGCTACCAAATCCAGCCTGCTTTTTCCCTTTTAAGCTGGCTGCACTCCATCAATTCTGGCTGGAGCTGAAGGAAGGGTTCATAGGTTTAAGGAAAGCGCTAAGTGCCTGTCTGCACATGCGGAGAATCACTTGGTATCGCAGCACATCCGCTGCTAGCTATGGGCTAGTGCAAGGACAAGAGTTTAAAGAACCAATGGGCCAAATCTCACAGTCCTTCTGCAGACAAGCCCAGCCTTGTGGCTAATAGGAGTCTTGCCTGCACCAGGAGGGCTCTGACCTCATGAATATTTGCCCAGCTCTTAGGCAGAGGCCTGCATGAGGTCTCATGCTAGGAGGGACTATTCCCAGCTAAGAAAATAGTATTGCAAGGAGTCGGGTGCAACTGCTTTGTCACCAAATGCTGAAGAGCACCTTTAAAACACAGCAGGACATATTGAATCTGCTGCCTCTAACTCCTTATTTCTTTATTTGAAGTATTTGGGGTGGGGGTCAAGGATAGAGAGATTGCAGCAGATTGCCTCCCTTCTAGCTGAGCACAGGGATGCTTAACAAACGAGGGGGGAAATGGAATCTAAACTGCTGATAAAAAAAGAAGGCTAAAGCATCTTCAGGTGAATTAAAGGAGCAGGCCCACTCTATGTTGAGATTTTCACGGCAACTCTTTCACAGCTTCTCTAGCTGGTCTGCTGCTTTGAAGGCTGTAGGAAAACCGTTCACATCCATCAGCACAACACATCTAAATTAGCCAGTTAACAGTGCGATGGGCCTTTCCCTCAAACCGGGCAGCCGTCAGTAAAGGTTCATACATCCAATTCCAGCCCTCAAAGCATGGCAGTGTAGTTTGGAAGAACATGCCAAAGTGTCTGGACCACAGGATCTTGTACAATTTAAAAGCAAGCATTAAAGAACCTCAGAATGCGACCAGTGTCAAGTGCCTGGGCTTTTTCACCCTTTTAAATTCTTTGAGTATAAATTGCTGCAAGCCTGTGTTCAGGAGCATTTAAATCCTGCCACCTTTACAGTACAGTATTTAAGTGGGAACCACCTTAAGCAAAACACACACAAGAAACCCACCCCCACCCCCTTTCGCTTTTGTGTTAACTTTTTAATCAGAGCTGGGGCTGAGTGAAGAATGCCTATCACTAATAGATAGTGCTGTCTCATTATTCACCTTTTTCTTCTTTAACAGATATTTCATGGCTATTGTTAACGCACATTTTTCACAGAGTAATTTTCAAAGCCTTAGCCTGTAACACATCCCAATGACAAATGTTCTTGATTTGGACTCTACCTTCAGCAGCAATGTCACATCAGGCATTTTCTCAATACTTACTGCCGACAGGCCATCCAGTTTTATGATCGCTGCGTCTCAGTTATCGCTAGTGAACCTTAAGAATCCAGAGGCTTTTCCAAGTTTAATTGAATAAAATTCTTTGTATAATAAATTCTTCACGAATGCTGCATAAATCAGCTCTGGGATGGATTCTTTTTCTTCCCAACAGGGCAAATAGAAATCTCACTAGCATTTCTGAACCAATGCAAGTATTATTTAGTCATCGCCATTTAACAAGGTGTGCAGATTCAGTTTGTTGTGCCCTGCTCAAGAACTTTTTAAATGTTTCCCCCTCTTAACAGATTTCTGGGCAAACTCTTCTAGAACTGGAGCTAGGGGGAAGGCTGCTGTCTAAGCTGGGGCTTATTTAAATATGTGCCTGTCAGCCAGAGCTGGAATTTAGTAGTATTGAACACTTCTCTTAAATCACATTGATGAGAGAAAGCAGGCTCAGAGCCACACAGATGCCTAAGGGTTTGCCTAATGGGGGAGCTGCTGGGTGAAGGTCACAATTAGTTATACTATGCATGTTGGATTAACCCCTTAGTGCGTGTGATCTCCCTGCCTGCATTGCTGAGCAGGTTGGGATGCCTCTGCTGTTCGTGATGGAGGCAACAGCCCAAGACTTGACCCAGTGGAAGGATTCGCATGGACTTCAGTGAGCGTTGGCTCATGCAACGCAGAATAAATTAAACCCCAGTAGCAGCATCTCTCACTTGAAGACCTGACTGCACGTACATCCTGAAGGTCAGGGGCTATGGGGTGCAGACAGTAGCTCTGCCACTTGAAGGCAGGAGATTAAGTTGATAGGAGACTCTTCATACCGCTCTCAGCTGAAGACAACCTCCAGCTTGGCTGAGCTGCCCCTGCTAACAGCTGGGCTGCACACAGGAATAGGTTATCAGCAGCAAAAGCCGGTTACTCGGTGAATGGATTTAGGGCATGAAAATGAAATGAAGGCAGACTCCTCTCCTCCACCCACCCCATGCTCCAAGACTGAGGTTAAGTTTGACTTCACAAGCCCTGTCCCCACCCAGCTGATGCACACCCATGCTCTCTGGGGACCCATTCCTACACCTCATTAATGAGAGGAGCTGGGGAAGGATGGCAGATGCTTTGTCCACCCTGACCATATGCAGAGCCCAGATACAGTTTTGCCTTGCAGGGCTTTATTTACGATTACCTTGGAACTGTCAGAGGAGACATATGTTGCTAAGGGTCGTTTATTCTTGTTTGGAAAATTTATGGCATCTCCTAGCTTACACACTGTCAAGCCTGGAAGGATTGGCCCCAAAACCTCTTGCTGCATGATTGGATCAGACGCCGGTACATCTGTTAACACTGTAGGAGCTGTAAAAGGAAATAAGTCGAACTATAACTCAGCCACCTCTATTACGTCCACACCATGCAGGCAGCAAGGCGACCGCTGTTCCTGCAGAAATGACACAGACATACATTTCGACAAGCCAGCGGTTCCTTTGAGAAATGGGAGAGAGACTGAGAGCCTGCTGATCGCCTTTTAAATAGGCTCAGTGTAGCGTGGGAAAGACTTGGAGACCAGGAGACATGCACCGTTACAAGGATAGGTTCTGGGGCAGGGGGAGCTGGCCATCCTTACTGCTGCTCTTCCTGTTCACACATGTCCACAACTCCCACACTCAGGCAGATGAGAGAGTCTGCTCCCCTGACCTGGGAGAGCAGGAAACGCTCAGAACAAGGCAGCCGCAAGTGGAGCTGTGCACTTTCCTTCAGGTACCTTCACGGCCAACAGCAAACCTTCCCCGCTGCAATTGGTACATTGTGATGATGACCAGGAAGAAGTGGCCGTGGACTCTTCCTATGCAGGTCTAGCACAGGCAGCCAGTGGGGGCTGCATCCCAGCCCTTGGTGGTTGGGTTAAAATGTAAACCAGATCTTGACATAACCACTTTATCAGGCCGCACAGGCAGGGTGAGGCTAAAGGGAATGGAGTGGCTGCCCGGGGAGATGGGAGAAGCTGACCAGTGGCCGTGCCGCCGTAGGGACAAGTAGGGAAGCAGGGCTAGTACTCAGTAAATCCCCCACAGTACAAGCCTGACCTTGGCAATAAGATTTTTTCCAAGCAATTTGAGGTGCCGCTTACCCCACAAGAGTCATATATCACTCCCTGCCAAGAACCAGATAAACCTGCCCGATTAATTACTCCATGCAAGCCCTTGATATCATTCAGAAGCTCTAATTACATTCCCCAACGCCAGCAAAGCTCAAATTAACTTGCAGGGAAATTATCCAGTGAGCATTGAGCTGTTCGTCTAGGAGCAGCGGGGAGGTGGAGATGAATGGCAGGGGCACATTGTATGGGCCAAAGAACCACATGCTGTCGGGCAGGAGAGCGCGGCATTCGACTCCCACCCAGCACAACAGAGTGCAGGCTGGTCTTCGATTCATGGGAACAGGCTGACTACTAGAGGCAGAGAGAAGACATACCTTTGGCTGCCAGCACTGGGAATGTGTTCCAGGTGTAATGCAGCACAGCAGAACTATCCCAGGAGGGCCTGCAGCCGGCAGGAGAAAGATCCATTTTAGAGGAGCTCTGCGGAACGGTGGCATCAGGCTGAGGGATTTCAGACCTGACCCATCCAGGGGCGCTCAGGACAAAGAGCAGGAGGGGCAGGGAAGTCAAGGGAGCCTGGAGCTCTCTGCCAAGGAGGCAGCACCTTACAACCTGCAGCTGTGCCCACCGCTCCCGACCGGCCTGGGCTGGAGGGTTTCCACTGAACAGTTCTCTGCCAGAAACACTGATTCAACCGAACCCGAAGAGCTTATGGAACCACGGCCCTTACCTCCAACTCCTCCGCCAGGCAGCGTCCGTAGGTTCCACTGCAACAAGGTTGAAACCCTTCGCTCCGACTGCGTGCGAACTCGGCCGTTCTAGCGAAGAGTCAAGGCCAGAGCCAAAACGGAGCACTTGCCTGTGTTGGGGCCCTCTGGGACGTGCCGAGTCAGGATGTTCTGAGGGGGTCGCAGCTCCCGCATGGCGCTACATCAGAGTCCATCAGTGCCAGTGGGAATAGCACAACAGCTCCTGCCCCGGGGACAGGCAGTGACACCAGGCTGCAGCATTGGCATCTGAGAGTGCAGACTGGAGCCCCAGGACAGTGGTTGCCCACTGGAAAGCAGAGGGGACGGGGGAGGAACGGGGGTCCTGGGTCACTGCGGGGGGACCTGCAGGCTAGTGACAGCTGCCTTGGGAGCCTTCAGTTAGCGGCTGCTGGCCTGTTCTCTCCTGGCCTGGAAGTGAAGCCAGGCCAGCTGCTGGGATAACAAGGACCAAAACAGAGCCAGAGGGTAGCAAAGCCCCTGCCAGCCTACACTGCAACAGCTACTGGGGCATCTAGCCCAGCAGGGGCTGGTGCTGGCAGGGCTCCAGCCATCCTGGTGCCAGCCACATTGCACCGGGCATGGCTGTTTGCTGGTAGTTCTTGCCCTGGGACATTTCAGTGGTTTCTGCCAGAGACTGCCCTTCGGTGTCTCTTGCCAGGCCCCGATTCCAATTTCTGCCTGTCCCTCCAGGTCCCAAGGTGAGCCAGAGGGTGAGGCAGCCCAGGTGCCAGCCAGGGCACCCCTCTGCCATCCTGATGGTAGTGCCAGTCACGGGGACAGGGGCTGTAGTGGCAGCAGAGGCCAAGGAGAGGAGCAGCTCCCTGGGCAACAGATCGCAACTACGGCAAGGCAAGGTACCATAGCTTCCTTGCAGTGCCACCTACCGGGCTAAAACACCGACCTGCTACCACAACACACAGCAGATCATGCTGTGAAATGCCCACCCCGCAAGGGCCAGCGAATGCTAGGTTCAGGAGGCCTCTGCAAGCAGCATCCCTGTCTTACGTCTAACAGGGCTCTTCTGATCAGCCAGCTGGGCTTGGGATCAACCTCTTGCTCCCAACTCTGCACACCCGAAAGCCCAGGAAGGAAGCAGTGCAGCCAGCTGGCCGCAGCCCTGAGCACATGCCAAGGAGCACATGCGACAGCAGCGCCTGGCTATGCTCGGAGCCCCTCCAGGCTTTGCCATGCGCTGGGGCAGGACGTGCATCGTGATGGCCTCGGTACAGCACAGGCAATGTAGGGAAGCCCCATGCTGGTGCTTGTGGGGGGGCCTTAGGGACATCCAACCAGACCCCAGGCAGCACACCTGAGCACCTGCGCTGGAGGCAAACAGCCCTGGCTGTGCCCTACTATGCTTCCCCACCCACCCATTGCTGCCTGTTTTACCTGGACCGCCCAGGCAGCTGCCTTTCGTCCATGCCCCAGCCTCAGCCAGGCTGTGGGAGCAGTCTCTGCCACCTGCGTACCAAGGACGCGGCCCCCCCCACGGCTCCCCAGCCTTCAAGGAGGAAGAGACCTGTGGAAAGCCACAAGCAAGCAGCTTAGGACAGGAGCAACTGGCCAGCGCGTCCTTCCGAAGAGACGCTGATACACGAGCAAATCCACTGCACAGCAGCCCTCCTCACCCCGAACCTCACTGGGACCCTACCAGGTTCAGGAGAAAATGGGCTTTCTGGGAGCTCTCAAAATGCACCCATTTGTGAGGGCACAGCACTGAAGAGCCCCCTGAGAACACCATCATCTCTCAAAGCCAGCCTGAAGGCCCCTGCACTCCCCCTCTCCACTCCCCATGACTTTGGCCTGCCCCATATGAAGGGGCATTACCTTCCCACTGCCAAGCCCGTTGCCGCCTACACACAGACAGACAGACGGACGGACGGACGCCTGCGTTCTTACTCAACAGATGTTAAGTTTATTTTTTCCCTGTGGTGTGGTCGCACGGGCTGTGCCAGGACCTCAGGACTTATCTATAGAAAAAATAAACACGTGAATCTCCTATGGCAAAACTTTTCCCTTCTCACGCAGACCACGTGAGAGCCGGAGGAGGGCCCGTCGCCTGTTCCCAGTCCTCTCTGGAAGTGTAACAAGCCTTCGAGTCATACAGAAGCTGGCTACTGATGAGACGCACTGCTGTACACACAGCCATCGGGGCCTTCGTTACCCTATCGCAGCTCATCCACTAGCTACAAAACTAAAAGATTTAGTGTTTCATATAGTGCAATATTGCCAGGCTCTTAAAAACCCTGGAGTTTCTAGCTGGGGAAAAGAGATGAAATTAAAACCTT